TTTTTCTATAATGAAGTATTTACTTGGTGGGTAGTTTATTATTGTAACCATAGTAAGTTTTAATATGACCATGGTTAACGTTTCCTGTTTTCCTCCACTAAAAAAAATAAATAAATAAAAGTAGACACGTGTCAAGCAGTTAAAAGGATTGCAGTGTTTGGTGATTAACATAATGTAATGATGATAGGTTAGGTTATGTTTGGTATATCAATAAGCTAGCTTATAACTTATTTGATCAGCTTATAAGCTCTCTGTATTTAAATAAGTTATGTTTGATAGGACAAACTTATTTAAAAAGCTCGAGCATATTTGATAAGCTTCTTTAGGTAGCTTTTCAAATAAGCTAGTTGAACTTTTTTATTATAGCTGGCTTATCAATTAATTTTACCAAACACTTTTATCATATAAGTTGACTCATCAACTATAAGTCATAAGCTATAAGCTATAAGCTAAAAAATTATTGATATTATAAGCTAGCTTATCAGCTATCAACTAGCTTATCAGCTAGTTTTACCAAACATAGCGTTAATCAGAATTAATAATAATCAGTTCAAGTGGAAAAGTGGCCTCAAAGGTAAGTAATAAGTGCTATAATTCGAGTAATTTATATATAAAAAAAAATAAAAAAATATGTGGACAAAAAAAAAGAAAAAAAAAAGAAGTGTATAACAATAAAAAGCACGTATTTAAAGAATACGTTTTCTATACAAATTGTATAGAAAACGTATTCCTTAAATACGTTTTTTCAGATTTTTTTACAAAAGAAAACGTATTCAGTGAATACTGTAACAATAAATTTTATGGAAGACATAAACTTTGTACAACTTTATTTTATTTCGATCAAATGATGTTGCGGGTACAATCTCTATTTATCTTCTCTTATTCTTCTCTTCATTAATTTGGAGTTGAGATCTTGAAAGATGGATGTGACGATTGAACCTCCTTCGGGCTTGGTCTTGAACTTCTCAAACATTAATTCAGGGGTCGAATGACTTATTCTCGTATTAAATGTTAGGCATTAACTTGATTGAAGAAAACTTCTTGGAGGACTTGACTTGATTCTTTGATCTTCTTGAAAGAGGAATTTGACTTGAATAACGTTGACTCGAGGGCTTGAAAGCTTTTTCCCGAATCAAACGCTATGTTGCTTGAACTTTTCGACGAACGCGACTTGAATGTAGCTTGAACGTCGTTGATATTCTTGTATTGATTTGAGAGGATTTGAAGTCGTCTCTTTATTTCTTGAAAAAGAGTCGTCGCCTCTTTTTCTTCTTCTTGGCCTTTTTTTCATTGAATGGACTTCGGACGGTTTTTCAAGAACTTCTTCAAATCTTCAAGTGGGTTCTTGAGACCCTTTGAATTTGAGACTTTAATCTTTGAGATGTGTTTGATATTTTGAGGTGTGATTTGTAGGATTGAAGAGAGCCCTATTTATAGGTGTAGGAGAGAGAGTCTTGGAAAAGAAGACATCAATTTGATTGGTCATTTTTTATTTGATATAATCTTTTTCCTTACCATAAGATTGGATATAACCTCTTTCTTTATCCTAAGTTTGACTTAGTGGGCAAGAAATAATTACTTTATTAAATAAATATCTTATTTATCTTGGATTTATGTCCCAAAAATAAATAAAGACATTAATTAATATAATATTAAAATTTTGATGTCTACAAATACCCCCTTGAGACTTGTTCACGGACAAAATGTCTTGGTAGTGAACGAATCTCAAAATTTTAGATTTGGTTTGGACATGCAGATAGTTTAAACTCTTATCTAGGAGTTTTCGACTTGAATTTGTAGATAGTTTAAACTCGTATAAAAGAGTTCTTCATTTGACTTGATTTGTAGATAGTTTATACTCGTATCAAGGAGTTCTTCATATGACTTGATTTGTAGATAGTTTATACTCGTATCAAGGAATTCTCGATATGTAGACCTTTTATTCTCGTTTCAAGGAGATCTTGATATGTAGACATTTTATACTCATGTCAAGGAGCTTTATATTTGACTTGTATACATTTTATTCTCGTGTCAAGGAGATCTTGATATGTAGACATTTTATACTCGTGTCAAGGAGCCATATAGATAATTTAAGCTCTTATCAAGGAGCATTTGATTTGGATATTTGGATAGTTTTGGCTCATATCGAGGAGCTTTATAGATAGTTTAGGCTCACGAGGAAGGCTCATATTTGAAGAACTCATTTGTACAAAGTTTTATGTCTTCCATATCAAACGATAAAAGTTTTGTGTACAACATCATTTAGCTCTTATCAAGTGGGTTCACGAGGAAGGCGGTTCGGAATTTTGTTCTGATATCGATAACACATAAAAGGAAAATAAATCCTAAACATACTAATCAAATAAGGGAGTGAATAATTATCAACTAAGAAATGAATAACAATGCAAAATGTAAATCTACCTAAGAATATGAATGAAACGAAGATGGAGAAGCTAGAGAATCGGGGATAATTAATTCAAGTTCTAGCATAGTCGGGCAATCAATTGTTCGGTTCGAGATTGACACTCTCGCCTAAACGTCTAGCGGTTCGCTCCCAGTAACTCTTCGTAACAAGGGATTGAACATAGACGAACAAGCTCAAGCATACAAAACAGGCCAATGATCCCAGTCTCAATAACTATTCGTAACAAGGGACGAGTCATCGACAAGCTCGTATTTCAATCTAAAACACATAAATTATTCAATTACAAAATTATCTACCTCATGCGAGCCTATTTCTACGACTTCTCCCCTTTCGGTTCTGAAAGCCGCTAAATCAATTAGAAGGTGTTTAATCAACTAATCATATAAAATTGACAAACCCTAACTCGACAAACTAACATCCAACTGTCACCAATAGCAAGATCGAAATGTCACTTTTCGATTATATCAATCTATCGAATACAAATTCACCAATTCCTTATCAAAACAACGCACATAAGAATGAACAATTTCAAGCCCGAGAGATACAATTCAAACAAGAACAATCATTCCCCTATCCCTAGCGACAGAAATTAGCTACGTAAATCAAATTCAACAATCACAATCAATTCTCCAAATTCAACCATTATTCATGAGTTAAATAGAAGAAAAAAAAAATTACCAATAATCTCAAATCCACGGGTTGAACATGAATTACAAGCCTAATCCCAAAAGCAAGAACAAATTTTAGATAAAAAATAGAAAATAAAGATTAAGAGAAGAAAAAGATCGAAGAAGAAGAAGAAGAAAGAAGGGAAGAGGAGGAGATTGGGTGTTTTCTCGGGACCTAGGGCTTTCACCCGGTCGAGAGATCCTTTTTTTTTTTGGTTGGGAACGAGTCCCCATATATAAGGATCGAAAAACTGAGCAAAAACAGGTCAAAAAATAAGTTGGGACGCGCAGGTGTCGCGCCGCGGCGGATTGTCTGTAGCACTGCGGCGCGCAACAACTAGTCCTCTGTCCAGGTCGCGGCACTGGCGCGCCGCGGCGCCTGGGTGCAGGCAGCTATGCGCAGCTTTAAGATTTTTGCTCGTTTGAGCTTGTCCGAACTCGAAATTGAGTTCTGTTTTTTCCTATGCGTAGCCAACGAACCCCTCTATCTAATGATGTAAACTTCCCCAGTAAATTCCCAGAAACACACCAAAAACGAAAACACAAACGGAAGACTACCGAAAAAAAAATAAAAATTATCGGGGCACTCAAGACAACACAAAACACACAATAAACGACAAAATAAACCTAAAACCAACTAAATGACTCAAAATGGGGGAAAAAATGAGAAAATAATAAAGAAAAATGCAACAAAAATGGGACAAACAACTCCTCCACACTTAAACCTTTGTTCGTCCCGAACAAAGAGAAAATAAAAGACGCAAAGATCAAGCATGGATAGCGATGACAAACAAGAAAGGTCTC